TTTATTTATTTATTTATTTATTTATTTTTGCGGTTCTGGGGATTGAACTCAGGACCTTGCACTTGCCAGGTAAATGGTTATTCTAAGCTATCTCCCTGGCCCTCACTTAAAATATTTTATTGACACAGATTCTGTTTATGTGCTATGAAGTTAAGCACACATTGAATAAATCCATGTTTTGAACTGTAGGTTCACCACATACTGATTTTGTGACATCCACATGTTAACTGAAGTGTGCACCTGTGGTCTTCAGCCTGAGAGATGTTATTATCACAATGCAGGGATTCTGAAAAATACAGTGAGACCTGGTGAATGAGTTGTAGGGAGGGAGGCCCTGAATGCTCCTTGGTTATCCTGTTTTGCTTCAGGATCTGAACCAAACACCATGAAAATTGTTGATAAAAAAAGAAATCATCTGTCTTTTCATAGTATGTGTACCAGCATCACAGACAATCTGTAATTACTTAGTGGTGATAGTATTATAGTTTTGTTCTTTCAAAATTTAACATTGTGTATTCTTTGAATGATGGTATTTGACTCAAACATTCAACTAAACCATCCTTTAGTCATTAATGACAGTGTAATGTGAAATATAGGCTATACGATAAATATAGGCTATACGATAAAATATGTAGAAATCTTAAGAAAAAAGTACTTTGCCAGGTATGTGATGGTGCGTGCCTATAATCTCAGCATTCATGAAGTTGCGGCAAGAGAATCATTGCAAATTTGAGACCAACATGAGCTACAAAGTGACACCCTATCTCAAAAACCAATAACAATAGTAGTACTTGATTTATTTTTGTTCTTGAAATTTATTTATCAAAATTAAGTATTGTCATTTTATCTCCAATTATTGATGCTTTTATATTATGTCAGTACCTTGATAATATCAAACTTCATTTTATTAAAGTGTTTTAAATCTTCAAATTAATGTTCATTATCAAACCACCATTGTTTCAGTTACTTGTCTCTCCTTGCTGGGACAAAACACGCAATGTCCAGAATTAAGGAAGGAAAGGTTTATTTAGCTCAGAGTTTGTGAAGGTTTCGATCCTTACTTGGCTGGCTCAAAGGCAGAAAGCAGAAGTTCATGGTGGCAGAAGACAGCAAAACAACAAGAGCAAAAAGGCAGGAGCAGCAGCAGAGAGCAGGCCTCTCTCCTGTCCTTATATTGCATTCAGGCTGTCTGCGGGTGTAGCACTCACACCCAGGATCCCAGCATTGGATCATGAATTAAAAGCCACCCCATGACTGCATGAGGCTTTGCGGGGACAACTAGATACAAACCATATCAACCACTATTTGTGTTTTCTCTAGTTTTTAAAATAGTTTCTAATTCTTTTACTAAGCAACATGTAATTCTACATTGCCCAACACAGTTTTATAATAATGATTTTAAATGTGAAGTTGAGTACATACTTTGCTGGATTATGATAGTAATATTCATAGTGTACAACATATGTTTGACCCTCCAAAAGCTTTTGGTTGTCTGTTTGACCGGTGGCCACTGTTGATCAAGTTCAGGGCCTTACACCTGCTAAGCACATGGTATATTACTGAGCTTCATCCTTAGCCACCCAAGAGCATTTTTAGTGCCCATATTTATATGGCCACTAAAAATGCATTGCAATGGGAGAATTCAGAAAGGGATGTTTTATTAGTCAAGGTGCTTCTAACTTCAGGAACAGATAAATCTCAGTCCAAGATAAGTGTCCTTGTGAGTATAATCTGAGTGTTCTTGCTGGAATGGCCTTTCATTTATTTGACTTTTTCCTAAGGCCACAGTCTTCTCCATTCAATCCATGGATGCAGGAAGTGTGGGAAAGCTATACTTGATATCATCTGCTTTAGCTAAGCAAACTATGTAAGGCATATGACCACCTGTAATCTCAGCACTCCAGGAGGCTAAAGCAGGAGGATGAAAAGTTCAAGCCCATCTTGCACAACTCAGAGACTTAGGGCAACCCTGGCTCAAAATGAAATATATTTAAAGGGGGGTAGAGGGCCTGGAGGTGTAGCGCAGTGCAGGGGCCCTGAGTTCAGTCTTCGGTAACACATGTGAACACACAACCATGCCTGTCTGCAGAAAAGTAAGGGAAATGCAGTCTAGCTACATTCGTAGGAGAATAAGGAAGGGTTTTTTTTGTTTTGGGGGGGTTGTTTATTTTGTTTTGTGGGGTTTTTTCCCCTTTGGTAAACACAGCAGTATACTCTAGCCTTGTCTCTGCCATGAACAAATCATAATGCTTAGCAAGACAATTTCCTTGGCTTTAGTTCCCTTTATTTTAAAAAGTAAGAGCTCCAATGACTTTTGGTTTTTTTATGAAGAGCTTTTTAGATGGTTATATTTTTAAAATTCTCAAGATATAATGAAGCTTAATTTGACAAAGTATTCATCAAAATCAGAATATTTTTAAAATCTGATGAGAAATGAGAAGTTGCAGCACAGTCGGTAGCTTTTAGTTAATTGTGTAACCAATGGATGCTGATTATGTGATATAAATGATGTTGGAGAGGAGATCATGGGGGCGACCATGGACTCAGAACTTTATTTAAATCCTAACTAATTCATCAGTAATTCAGATAAAAACATGGAATTCATATACAGAACTTCATTTTGTAATCAGGTATTCAGACCATTTCTGGACAATTGGATTCAAGCCTTCAAATTGATTTAATCTAATTTAATTTACATATGATACCTGGGCTTTTGAGGACTGGCCAGAAAATAAAAATGATTATTTTTAACAATGCTTTTATGACAGTGTAATTTATAAATGGACAGCGGAGCATAACCTATTTTTTAGTAAAGGATGAGTTAGATTTATACCTCCAAAACAGTTCATTTGCTTTCTTGCCTTCAAAGAAAAGGATGATCACGTACATCCTTAAATATATTATTAAGAGGCTCAGCTATGGATGTGAATATAAGTTGGTTCTTTTCCAGCAGAGATGTTGGATTTATCAGAGATCTCCAAAATAGGTACAGTACTACAAAGAGTATGTGTAACTATTAAATTAACAGGTAGACGTCAATTCACTCAGTGTTTGCAAGACACCTGAAGGCTTGGGTGATCATTGATTTTTTATAAAGCAAAAGTACTGTAATGTGCAATATATTAATTAATAATTGATATTGATAGGTAGTATTGATATCTTCTATTACATTAAGGCTTTAAAAGAACTTGTAGGAAAGGTCCTTTTAATGTAATAGTGATGCTTCATAATATATGCTTTCTTTCATTTTAGGACTTCTAATAGTAGTCAGACATTGTCATCCTGTCATACTATGGAGCCATGTTCATCCGATGAATTTTTTCAGGCCCTTAATCATGCTGAACAAACATTTAAAAAAATGGAAAACTATTTGAGACACAAACAGTTATGTGATGTAATTTTAGTTGCTGGTGATCGCAGAATTCCAGCTCATAGGTAAGTGTGTTCTAAATTTCTATATGTGTGAAATGTTTCCTGGATAATTTAATTACTTAAAGCAATGTAAATTATTTTCATTAACTACTGTGCTTTT